CCGCTCCGGCCACGCCGGAGTCGGGAATCATCCCCAAGAAGCGGTGAGTAGCGGTTTGTGGAAGGTGCTGGCGGCGAGGGGCCAGGCCGGGCCTGTGCTGCGGGAAGGCACGGGGATGCGGGAAGGGAGGGCAGCATTCGGCTCCCTGAAACTCCGAACTCATCTCTGGAGGGGGAGTGGACGCGACTCTGGACTCTGTCAGGAAGCGGGCAGGGTGGAGTGATGGATTTTGGTCTTCTATTTGCAGGTAACCGAACTGATGCCCGGAATTCATTCTCTGTCATGAATGAGTACTTTGGGGGCCAAGGTCTTTGAATGGGTAGTAGGGGCTCTTATGCTTCTCCGAGGAGATTTAAATTTGTACTAGCTGATCACAAGGATTCTTCTAATGCGCGAAAAATTGGGTATTGGGGTGGGAGGGGGGTGGAAAGGGGGCCAATGATGCTCTGGAAAAAGGTTCTGGCTTCAGCTTCGTTAGGGCATGGTTTTCGACTTGGAGGAAACTGATGAGTGAGTAGGAAGCGACAAACTGCTAGTACTAGATAATGATTTGCAGCGTGATAGTATCTGCTGAATTCTGTATAACCAGAGGCTAAAAGGCAGGGTTCTGTGAATGAGAAGTGTTTGTAAGAGATCTTAACTTCAGACTTTTTGGGGAAAACTTCTCTGATGAAAGCTACTGAGAGAAGCTGTTTTCTGAGGTGTAACTTTGTCAGCATGGGTTGACTTCGGGAGTGAAAGAGGATGTTGCTAATGTTAATTTGTATTTTCAAAGTGTCAGGGATTGTGCTAAATCCATTATTTTTTGCACGCTTTCCCAAGCTATGAGGTAGGTGCAGTTACCTCCTATTTTACAGATGAAGAAAAGTAAAAAACTCTGCTGTAGGGTTTTCACGTGTATTTTGTGGCAGGTTAGGATTCAGAACACACCAAGTTGACCTTAGGCTCAGTGACACATCATTAATTCAACATGTATGAGTCCTGTACCACATACATACAATACCAGCAGTACTTGAGATTTAGAAATGCAGTATTTATTTTTAAGGAAGCAACAGTCGACTAGGTAAAGTTATAGTGTAGTGTGATAGGAAATTTAACTGATAGTTGTAGCACATCGTCATTTACCCAGTTTTGGGTATGGGTTAAGGAAAAGACATGCTTGAATAAAGATTGTCTAAGTAAATCTTGAAATTTGTGTTGGAAATAGCCTGACAAAAAAGAAAAATGTTCTGGGTAGACAAACAGTGTGTTCATAGTGAGAGACAAGATGAGAGACAGATGAGAGAACTGCTGTGAGTTTAGTGGGGCAGGAGGGTAACAGGCAAGGGATAAAGATTTGAGAGGTAAAGCTTGTTTATGGGATTTTTATGTAGGGCAAAACATAATTAGAATTATATTTCAGAAAGGTTACAGTGGGACCAAATTGAAGAAGGTTGAGTAGTATAGCAGTATCATGACCGGGAATGTAGACCTGGTTTTGAATTCCACTAAGCAATTTCACCTCTATGACTGTGCGAGTCAGCTCCTCTCAGAGCTTCAGTCCCCTCATTTTAAAAAATGAGTATGATAATTTCTGATTTGCAGTGTTACTGTGAGAATGGAAAAACGCCAAGTTAAAAGATCAAATGCTTAGTGCAATGTCTTTTACATAACCCTTCAACAGATAGTAGTAACAGCAATTTTCCTTGTGTCCAAAGACAATAGAAACTAATTAGGAGTCTTTTATTCCAACGAGGATTGCTGGGATTCTGAACTAAGGTATAGTATTGGGAATTGGGAAAAAAAATTGGGAGGTACATTTTCTAGAATCTGGTCATGTAATGGCAAGAGAGAAAAATTGGGCTGGGGATTTGGCTCAGTGGTTCCGCCGCCTGCCTCATAAGCACAAGGGCCAGAGTTCAATCCTTGGTACCAAAAAAAAAAAAAACCTCCCAGAAAAATCAAGGATCACATCCCACCCTCTGTCTACACTGATACTATGTTAGCTGTTACTACAATTTATGACTTTTCACTTTTCTTAATGGCTTCATGTTTGTTTATGTCTACTCATTTGTATACATCTGTGTGTGATTGTACATTTATATGCAAGTTCACACTATTAGAACTAAATAAGGAGGGCACATTTTCCTTATGGTTAGATTTAGCAGCTTTCACGTGTGGGAGTAAAAATAGTAATGTTTATATTGGGGAAATTGATGAGTTTTCTCATGGCTGAAGGTGACTGGTCTAGGGTTCCCTGTCTGGTTGCTCTCTAGGATTCCCTGTGTGTGGCTACTCCAAGGACTGAAGACATCAGGAGCCCAGGCACAACTATAGCCCATTTATGACAATAGGTCACAGCTGGTGGGATGCTCTTGTTTTTGGTTTAAGGTTAGACAGCTATGGTAAAATCTAGTTATGCACAAATAGTTTGAAGTTTAATCAGAACACTAGTATTTTGACTAAACATAAATTACAGTACTAACTTGTATTGAATGGAACATCAAAAATTTCCTTGGAGAGTGATTACTTGATTATTATTATTACTTCTTACTGCTTAGCTGGGCCTCAGATTGCCAGCAACAGAACTGAGCCTATTTGGAAGACAAATGAGAAGAAAGGCAGGCCAATAAATGTGATTACAACCCTATGTCTTTGAAATCATTTGGTGATGTGTGCATTATTCCTTTTTTGAATCATAGTGTTGGTTGTAATTGTTTTATCTTGTCACTGATTATTCTGAAATTCATCATGGACTTGGAGTAGTGACTTTTTGAAACTTGATGTTTTCATTCCTCTTGTAAAAATAGTCAGGCATATATTAGTGAACATTTACAGAGTGGTTGCTTTATAACAGGTAATGTGCTAAGCACCAAAGATAAAGAGATGAATAGTCCTCAGCCTCAAAGAATTCACAATCTAGGAAAATTGATAACATGTTGCAGGAGTTTAATTATAACTACTATAAACTGACATTGTGAAATGGGAAGAAAGGGGCTAAAGGTGTAGGGAAAGTGGGAAGGGTAGGGGAAAGGTAAAAAGGGAAAAGAAAAAAATGTGAGAAAATGAAAAGATGGAAATAAAGTGTTTGTAAATGAGAGGGGAGGAGGGGGGTGAAGGGAGGGCAGGGACAAGGGGAAAAATGAGAACCAAGACCTGTCATGTAAAGGTACAAGATCCCAACAATGAATGTAACTGTACTGTATACCTAATATGTACCAATAAACTCAATAAAAATAAAGTTAAAAAATACTGTAGATAAAATTACAGATAAGAACGAAGAAAAGAAAGAGTGATATACCATACTGTATATTAAATCAAGGGAAGCTTTCTGGAGAAGTTCTAAAATATAGGTGCTAGAGAGGGGGACTTAGCCCTGTGGTGGAGTGCTTACCTAGCCTACATAAAGCCTTAGTTTTGAGCCCCAGGACTGTAAATTTAAAGATAAATAATAAAATAAAATATTGGTGATAGTTTGGTAGGTTGATTGGATGGTAAGAAGAGTTTATATTTCAGACACGTGGAACAGAATATGGCAAAACAAGGGCATATGAAGGTGTATGTTATATTTAGACCACTAGACAATTCAATATTGAAAGAGGTGGGAGTGAAGAGGCCAGTGGCAGGTTATAGAGGTCTTTGGCCTGAGTCATCAGTCCATTTGTTCGTTTGTGCATTCATGTAGGTGACATATTGTAGTGAATAAAAACTGCCTTTATGGAATTTATGTAGTAATTGGAATGGAAACAGTGAACAGACAGTACAGTATGTCAGGTGGTAATGAACGTAAAGAAAGAAAAATGGGGGAGGAGCAAGTGGGTAGGTGATGGAGAACACTTCAAAGACTTAAGCTGGTCAGAGACACGAACAGATTGAGTTTGAGTTTGAGAGAAGTCACCCGAGCTGCAGTGTTAAAGAATAGATAGAAGGATTAAGGTAGATGTATGGAGATCATTTGGTCAGGGGTGGGGTGGGGGTGCTGTTGTAGCACAACAAGTGATTAATAATGAAGGATTAAACAGCATGGCAGTGAGAATGGGAAGGAAAGGATGTATTTCAGTTTTGGAAGTTAGTGCTTTAGATAATACTTAGTATTATGTTACTAAGTAACTAGAGTTTGGAAACCAAATAAAAATAGAAAATAAACAAGAGAATCCAGAGGGATGTGGACATTTAATAGGGATTAGCAACCAAAACCTGTAGCTTCACCGGGGATTTAGCTAAGGGGTTCCACCACCTGCCTTGTAAGCAAAAGATCCTGAGTTTGATCCCCAGTACCAAAAACAAAACTGCGGCTCTCTGGGGGGACCCCGTCCCGCGGGGAATAGGAGGTGAGAGCCGCCTCTTATTCGTGGGTCATCAGAGGCCGATCCGATCTTGAATGTCTGTGAAGGAAATCTTTAAGAAGTTAGAGTACACGGCCCAAGTCTGGTTTCTGATCAAAGGCGCTTTATTGGCTCAGCAAAACGATTATATACTGTTATCCCAGGGGGAAGGTTCAGCAAGCTTATTGGACAGTTCAAACAAATCAATCACATGAGTCACTCAAGCATTTAACCATACAGCAATCAGTATTTTACCAAATGTGGGGAGGGGTAAGTGGGAAGGCGTACATCAACAATTAACCCTATGCAATCTTTAACTTCACAATCCCTAGGGGCAAGTAGGAC